GACTGCAGGATCGTGAGCACACAAGCGAGGTGACTGCGTTTTAACCGACTATTCTCTGTATTTCACGTGTGTTTGAAAAGGTCCATAATAAAAAACAAAAAGTTAACTCTAACAGCTGGGTTTCAAAGGGGCAAGGTGGAAGCAGGGAGACTCATTAGAGTTCAAGGCCATACTCCAGGTGACAGGCGACAGCAGCTCACACCAGGCTGGTTACAGAGGACTGGATTGTTCAGCAAGTTTGTAAGCTGAACCAGCAGGATTTTCTGACGAGGGGTGAGAGAAGGGAAGGCGTGAAGGGTGGCTCAGGGTTTCTGGAAGGGCATTTGGGGATTTTTGGAAGGGTGAGCTTATCATCAGTTGAAACAGAAGACCCGGCGTAGACCAAGTTCAGGGATGTGTTAGTTTCCTATTGCTGCTGTAGTAAACTTAGTGGCTCAAAACAAAACAAATTCACCCTCTTAGAGCTCTGGAGGCCAGAAGACAGAAACCAGTGTCACCGGGCTAGAGCCAAGTGCCATGGGGCTGGCTCCTCCCAAGGAATTCCTGAGGGGGGGATCTATTTCTTTGCCCTTTATCTTCAAAGCGCATCCCTCCGATCTCTCTTGGGCTATCACGTGGCTTTCCCCTCCTCTCCTGCGTCATTGTTCCTCTGCCTCCGTCTCAGAAGGACACTTATGATTGCATTGAGGGCTCCCCTAAATAATCCAGGATAAACTCAGACCTCAAGACCCTTTAACTTAATCTCACCTGCAAAAGCCTCCCTTAGAAGGTAAATTCACTGGCTTCAGGAATTAGGACCTGAATACCTTTGGATACCATGGCTCAGCCTTCCTCAGCAGCCATCTTCAGGAGCTCAGTTTGGAATGTGTTGAGTTTGAAATATCTAGGAGGCATACAAAGGGGAGTATTGACCACACTATTGAACACAAAAGTGGGATGTTCAGTAGAAGGAGAACCCGAAGGAGAATATTGACCAGACTGTTGAACACACAAGTGTGATGTTCAGTACAAGGCCTGAGCTACCGTTATTCATTTGGGAGTCACAAGTATGTCGATGAGATTTAAAGCCATGAGATTGAATTTAAGGAACAGGTACTCAATTTCTCAACCTCCTTTGCAGTTAGAGCACAAACACATGACCAGACGTACCCACATCTGGGTACACCTGTACATCCGTGAGCACAATGGATTAAGACAGCAGGTGCCACTCAGGGTCCAGTCTAGCCTGAGGGGTGCCCAAGGCACCAGCTTTCCCAGACAGCAGTGGCAGAAATTCTAGAAGAAAAGTCCAGGTGTGAGCATCACAGGTATTCTATGAGGTGCCTGTGCCCAGACAGGTTGCAATTAGGTCTCCTTTGGGCAGTTGTGGGCAGGACTTTGGTGTAACTTCCAGTCCTGCCTTTCTGACTCTCTCGGGAAGGTTCTGTGAGTGACCTAAAATCCTTTAATACATCCCTGGGGCTGATGTGTGATACCTGTAATTAAGACTTTCCCCCCTGGCTGGTGTGGCTCAGTGGGTTGAGTGCAGGCCTGCGAGCCAAAGGATTGCCGGTTTGATTCCCAGTCAGGGCACATGTCTGGGTTGTGGGCCAGGGGCCCAGTAAGGTACGTTGTGAGAAGCAACCACACGTTGATGTTTCTGTCCCTCTCTCTCTCCCTCCTTCCCTCCCTCTCTAAAAACAAATAAACAAAATCTTAAAAAAAAAAAAAGAAAGAATTTCAACCAATGACCTCCCTACTTAAACTTTAGGAACCAGAATCCCGTACCCATTCCAGGCTCTGGATAGTCTTCCTAATTCCTGTCTAGAAAGGAAGTCAGGAGCTTACGCAGACATGGTTTTATTCAATCTTCACAACAGACCTGTACAAAGGCTTCTATTAGTTTTAGTTTTGTAGATGAGGTCTTTGGACTCCAACTGCAGCGCTCTTACACGGCCCACAGGGTCGGTGTCCCCAGACCATGGGCGGGACGGATGTTAGGGAAGCAGACCGAGCCTTTCCTGAAATGCAAGTTCCAGCGAGGAGCCCCTGAAAGGCCAGGCGAGAAGTCTGGTCTTGGGGCTAAGGAACCCTGAAGGCCTTTGAGCAGCAGGAAAGAGACAGTGGGTTTCCTTTTCAGGTGAACAAAGTCAGGTCCATCTCCTGAGTGGACTTCAAAATAATGCACGGCAAACTCCCAGGGAGGGAGCAGCAGAGTGTGGGAGAGGCCTTCCATTCACCAGCCACCCTGGACCCATGCACATGACAGGGGCTCTGTCCTCCTAACTTCCAGTCAAAAGAGCATCAAGGTCGCCAGGGTGAATTCTGGAACCTCAGGGACCCCCTTCAGGCCCACTCACCGCTGGGTGGTCTTGAGCAAGTTCTTCATTAGCTTTCCTGAGCTAGAATTCCTTCACTTCTGAAGTAAACATAACTGAACCTACCCACACTGGTTCAGATACAGCTTTGGTTGCTGTGGAAATGACCCCGAATTCCCATGACTAGACAAGAGAGATGTTCATTTCTCTCAGAAACTGTCCAGGTGGCTCCAGCCCCATCCAGGAGGCATCCAGTCATGCCCAGATGGCAATGGCTCAGCACCACATCTTCTGGGTCCATACACCTCCCAGGAAGGGAGGGGTCCCCCTTTCTGGGAATGCGTGCTCCTTCCTCTCAAGTACTTAAGCCAGAAGTAGCACACGTCACATGGCCCCTGTGAAAAGGGAGGCTAGGAAGTACACCTGTCATTCTTGGCAGCCAGGAGGCCAAGTAAAATTCAAACATTATTACTAAGTGAAGGGAAGAAGAGCTACATGGAGGTGATGAGCAGTCTCCATCTATCTGTCTGTCTAATGGACCAGTTGTAAGGATGAAGGAAATACTCTCTCATGCACGTTGCACGATGCCTGACATACAGTTGATGTCCAGCCCTGATTAGTTTTCTTCCCGTGGTAGATGGACGAAGGGATCCTACACACATTCATGGAGCACCTACTACATGTAGCTGTTGTAAGACACACAGAGAGGAAGTTGATGCAATTTCCATGTCGAGAGAGGCAGACAGATGGTGTGGCATGACGTGTAACACAGCGAGGAAGAGGGAAACACTGTCCCCAAGTTGTGTCCAAGGTCCTTGGAGCACAGAGAAGGGAGTTTTCAAGACACCTGAAGAATCAGAAAAAACCTCACAGAAGAGGGTCATTTGGAGTTGGGTCCTCAAGGATAAGTATGATTTTAGCAGAGAAAAAGAAAAGGAAGGGAAATCTTGCTGCTGACACAAATGAAAACAACAATGAAGCACTGTTTTACCCATAAGACTACCTAAAATTAGGTATAGATACAGGTGCAGGGACAGATTCAGACATAGATAATACCATGTTTTGTGTTGGTCTCAGCCTTTGAATAACCAGCGCTGTGGCCGGGCCAGCCCTGGTGGTTCTTCTTATCATTACAAGATGCCCTTCTGCAATAACCAGCAGAAAACTTCGGAAAAGAAAAGTTTATTGTCTTCTGGACCTGAAAATTACCCAGCACACCTGGGGCCACACAGCGAGGTCATGGGTTATGAGTAGAGAGAGAACACACACAAATCTGGGGTTGTGTTTTCGTTGGGGTCATGGTGGGTGGGGGCTCACTCTTTACTGGGAACACAAAAGACTCAAAGTGGGGTTGGGTGCTGGCTCTTTAGACGAGATCCATCGCATTCAGGGTGGTATGGCCGTAGACAAGGGTGCTGGCTCTTTACTCAGTGGCTTGCAATGTCACGGAGATAGCCATCGTGGACACAGACGCCTCTCTGAAGTGGATGACTTCAAAGCTTAAGTCTTGTGCATTCAGTACGAAAAAGGAAAAAAGAAACAAACAACTGTCAGGGCGTACGCCACAATCCACTGGTGGCAAAGGAGGGGAGAAAGGAGCACACACCTTAAACTTGGTGGGAGTGCACACAGGTGAGACTTCTAGAAACATCTAAATGTAAACTGCACATCCTGTGACCCAGAAACTTCCTTGCTGGTGACTTGTCCCACCCAAATGCTTGCACAAGAGCTCACGGTGTATAGTCAAGGATTCTAGCTCAGCATTGTTTATAACAACAGAACAGCTACAGCTACGATGTAAGACTAAGTCAGCCTATGATTAATGGCACAGCGGCCATGCCACAGAATACTGCGCCGCCCCTGAAAGACTGAATCGCAATCCCAAAGCTTGAACAGAGCTGAAGGGACGCCCTTGTATTGCTAAGTGAAAAAAAGCCCGTGCCAGAGAAGTATGTCTAGCATGATTGCTTTTTGTACAAAAACAAAGGCAAATAAATGAATGAAAATAAGACCAAACCAAAATCAAACAAACTTACATCTCTGTGTCTGGAAACATATGTGTAGGTTGAGCACTGAGGACATAGGGCAAGAGATGGACCAAAATGTTAAAAGAAATTACTTTGAGAAAATGGAGTAGAAGGGGGAAAAAATCCACTGCTGATGACAGCTAAATACTGGAAACAATCTAAATGGCCATCTACGGGTAATGGCTTAAATAAATCATGATACATGAATACAACAGAACATCACAGAGTTGTTAAAAAGAATGGGGCAGCTTCGTCTATAGATATGAAAACAGCACCGAAACACACCGCTATGTGATAAATCGAGTTGTAGAATCCTGTAAATACTATTATTTATGTGCATAGTATGATGTAACAGAAATATGCCCGTGTGTGAGCGTGTGTGTGTTACGGGCACAGACTATTCTAGAAGGATACACAAGAAACCAGCAATAATGGCAAAATAATATCGAATGTAAGCTGTAATTGAAAGAAATTTTTTTTTTAAAAGAAATAGTGGTTGCCTCTGGGTAAGGGAATTGGGTGACTAGAAATAAAGGAAAAGAGATGTTCTCTTTCTCGACCATTTTATAGCTATGAATTTCATCCCATGCACATATATTACCTTTTAAGAAATAATATAACTTTAAAACAGATTAGGATTCAGAAATAAATTTTAAAAGCTCCCGCCGCCCCACGCCTAGCATTCTCGCGGCATCAGGGCAGGCTCTGCTCCAAGTTCCCGGCGGGAGGCCGGCTCGCTGGACAGGTGTTCCTGGCCCCGCCCAGCCCAGCAGCTCTAGGGGAGAGGAGGGCGGGGCAGAGGCCAACCCGACTCCGCAGCCGCAACTGGGCATTTTGCAACACTCCGACTGCAATTCATCAATGTTCTGTGGAGAGTGCGGATTGGTCACCTCGGGGAAGCCTGAAGTTGGGTTAGGTTATTTACTTACACTTAAAGCACAGTCAGGATGAGTGCTGTGGTCCACGCACTTTAAGAGCTTCACCGGGCTATAGGATGAAAAAAATAATATTTAAGGGGTTGATTAAATGGCTTTCATTCACTAAACATTTACTTGTGCCTGCAAGGGCCTAGGGGAACAAAGTCTCTGGCCTCAAAGAACACAGTTGTGTTTTCTTTTTTTTTAAAAGCTCATTCCAGCTGTTATTTTCAAAGGCTTTATTTATTTATTATTAGAGAGAGGAGAAGGCAGGGAGAAAGAGAGGGAGAGAAACATCTATGTGTGAGATCACATCGCCCCCAACTGGGGACCCGGCCCAAAACCCAGGCACGTGCCCTGACCGGGAATTGAACCAGTGACCTTTCGATTTGCAGGCCAGCACTCAGTCCCCTAAGCCACACCAGCCAGGGCCTGTTTTTCTTTTTCAATATTAGCCAGCATTTATTAAATGCTCACTATGTACCAAGAATTACATATTTTACATAAATTATGCCCTTTCCTTATACAACTACATGGAAAGTACTATTATCACCTGCATTTTATAGTTGAGAAAGCAGGCCAAGGGGCCTGCTGTGGAAGAAGGGAACAATAGCTCTGAGGACTCATTCTCCTGGGGAGACGTGAGCTGGGGGAGACCCACACTTCCAGGGGCCTCTGCTCAGCTGGGAGGGTTATTCGGCCCCCAAGGCTTTTGTGAAGGCAGCGGGTGGCAGAGCCAGGTGGAAGGTCATGGGCGCTGGACAAGACCGCAGATGTAGCTGGCACCCTGCCATACCCTCCAGCGTGCGGGAAAACCACAGAGTCCTTGATGGGCTGGACTCCAGGCTCTGAGGAGCCTAACAGGCCAGCACGCTTAGGTGAGGCGTTCCCCATCGAGGGCGGTTTCCAACCATCTCAGGCTTTGAGCCAAACTTACCTACCTTACAAGAATCGGGAATGCCCTCAAATGCTATCTGATTTTAAGTATACGAAGTTCCCCACCCGCAATGTGATCACTGAACGGTAGCTAGTACTATTTCCCTTCAGTCAAGATGCATCTACCTGTAAGTGTCTCAAACTCCACCTTAGCTCCTGTCACGGGTAAAGATCCCATGGGCAGCGTGGCACCCAAAGAACCAGGCACCATGCTTCCTGTTCTCAGGCTACTCACCACGCCCTAAGCAGGCGAAGAGCCAACTGGACGTGCACAATGATGGAGGGCTGCTGTCTGTCCTGCAGGCTAATTAAAAAGGGCTCTGCACAGAAGTGGGGGGAGCCAGGCAGAGCCCTGGCCTGAAGGCACTCTCGGTCCCCACACCCAGTGACAACCCTGGAGGAACAGTCCCTTGGTCTCTAGAGCTGATCCCTGCAAAACCCACTACCCTCCAAAGTTTCCAAATACATGCACTGATTGCAGCATACCACCTACAGGTAATCATTGATACAGCTGTACTGAAAACCCATTTTCTTCAGCCTCTCCTCCAGGATTCTCACACTGCCTTCTCCACAGGATTCCCTAAAACGTAAAAATATAAAACAGCATAAGAGGATGGAAGAAGCTTTTTTCAGATTAATTAAAATGTGTTTTGATCATGCGCTCCTGGTGTAGTCTTCTCTCTGGAGAGATGCAGTGGTTCCTCGGTACTTGTCGTTAATTCGTTCTGGAACCCATGGCGAGTGCCCAAACCGACGAGTGCCGTACAAGCAAGGAGTGATGAAGCGTTTTCCCACGGGTGGCGTCGTGGCTCCTACAAGTTCTAGCAAGTGGGACAAGCCCCAAGCAAGTGCTGTGTGCTGAAACATCTTTTGCTGTCAAAATGCGACGAGTACAGGGTTTGACCAGTTCTGAAGCCAACGGGTACCAAAGTATGACTGTAACTGAGAAAGTCCCTGGGCCCAAAAGTGCTGCTTGCAGTAAAGCCACGCCACCCCAGAGGGGCTGGTCTGAGCACCCAGCCCGTCGTCCAAAGTTTGCAGATCAAGTCACAGCACATTCCGTGGTCCCCACCCACCAACACACCTCTGTGACGCTCCTCTGGCTGGCACAGCGTCGCCTACCAACTTGTTCAACCTACAATGTTTTAAGGAAGTTTTAAATGGCAACAAAAATGCACAAATCAAAAATGTTAGAAAATGCAAATAAATAAAAGGAAAAAAAACCCAAATCTCACATTACCAGACATAGCTGCTGCTAACATTTTGATGTATCTCTTTCTAGACTTCTAAAATATATCCCCATGAGACTTTTAAAATACAGCAGTGGGGTTCTACTGTCCCATGCATTTTGTTCTCTGCATTTGCCCACGTCTGTGAGCCTACGTATATACCTGCCCTGATTTTTAATTCCTGTGTGCTCTCCCTTCCATAACTGGAACATGATTCATAAAACCAGCCCCCTCTTGCTAAACATCAAGGTTCGTTCCTAGATTTCAGTGTCGTTGACATGGCAACAAACCTTGACGATGCTTCATTTTTTCTTACAGACATCCTTAATTATTTGCTTCCTTAGCATAAATTCCTGAAAATGAGTTTTCTGGCACCAAGCTTTTGAATGCCTTTTAGGGCTCTTGATAGGAACTGCCAAACTGAAGCCCAAGCTGACCACCGTGACCCCGTGTGAGATGTCCGGTTCCCGCGTTCTCATCAGCGGGGATTCTTGCCCCGCCCCCGCCCCCTGTCATAACTAAGCAGAGGGATGTGTAAAGGCCAACAGCTGCAGTCAATAGACATGGAATTCACATCACAGGCAGGGCCCTGCCTCAGTTTACTTGGAATGGGAAGGTAAACAACTCCCCCACTATAAAATGAGTAGCTAGTGTACCAGGAGAACATGAGTGAAGCTTTCCCAGAGGAAGGGGAAACCCAGGCATTGCACAAGTGAAGGGGGCAAGGTTGAATGACATCATGTTTCAGCAACTTGCCAACGTCTCGGATGATGTCCTTCTCCGGGCAGAGTTCACTACGTAGGATTTTATAGTGGGCAGTGACTTGGAGGTTTCGGGACACCGACGCTCAGAGCTCAGTCAGTGGGTTACTTTACTATTTTTAAAAATAAAGGCATAAATGCAATCAGGTATGACCATGCTCTTTTGAACACTTTGTCCATGTTTTTTCCCTAAAAATCACAGCAGTTCACGACCCCCACTTTCTTAGCGCGTGACCTGCCACTCCACCTTTTGACACAAACGTACAGCCAGGTGCTCTGATCCCTTTATCATCCATCTCTCCTGCAGAAGTGATGGTCTGACATGACATTCAGCTGCAATTTCCTTGCACCCTTAAAGGTAGGTTCAAAGGACAAGCTTTCTCTGATACATGCATTAACGCAACACCAAGCATAATGTCTAGACAAAGAGCAATTTCTCACAGAAATAATGGATTGTAAAAATCTCCTTGACCAGTTATCTGAGACCCAGTTGTGGAACTGATTGTTACATAGTCTTTGGGTCAATTTCATAGAACTACTGGTAGGAGTTTTGGGGCCTCAAATGACCAGAAGGAGAACTTGGCTTTGGCCCCCACAACTGCCTGAGGAACTCTCCTCCCCAAGGCTGCCCAGGTTGCTCAGCAAAGAACATGACTTCCTTTGGCTGCAAGGTGTATCTGGGTAAAGGAGGTTTTCTCTCTGGGCTCGGGGCTGGCTAGTGGCATTCCCAGAAAGTCAGGCCTTTGTTTTTCTCTGCCCACCACATTAGAAACAGAGGAGACTATTGTTCCCACAAAAATGAAAATGTGAAACAGACTTGATCATCTCATATCCGAGAAAAGCCTCCTCATTACGAGCACCAAAACTTACAGTTTGAGTCCCCCGATTTCATGCATAATCCAGATCTCAATTCGTGTGATTTTATGCTTCTGGAAGTAGGGAACTTCATAATCTGCAAAAAAACTGAGAAACAGGAAAGACACCCCTTCAAGGACTCCAGCAACATGATACTATCCCCATTGCATTGTTAGCTGGTTTACACATTATTTTTGTTTTCAGGCTTGTAGGGGTTATTTTTCAGCTTTAATTTTTAGTTTACTTATTTTATTCATGCCTTCATCATCTGTTAATCACACATAAACATGTCTCTCATCTCCAGGTCTTTTGATTGTTTTGCTCCACCTGAGCAATGCATGAGATTGGGGGTTAGGGCCATTCTCTTAAGCCTGCATCCAAAACAACTACATAAGCATTTTGGCATCTGGGCTGTGCATGCCGGTGCCGGGCATGCTTACCCTTTCACCGGATAGGCTCCTGTGGGCTCCGAACCGTTCAGCATGACCGGGATCACACCAGAACTATCCTTTGCATACTGCAAGAAAAAACAAGTACTTTGAGTAAATTAACATATCTTTTTTTCAGCTATAAAATGGCCAGATTTTCTTAAATTTGTATTTATTTACTTTGAGAGAGAGAGATCTGTTGTCCATTTACTGATACATTCATTGGTTGATCCTTGTATGTGCCCTACCGGGGCATCCAGCCTGCAATGTTGGCGTATGGGGACAACGTTCTAACCAGCTGAGCTACCCAGCGACCAATTTTTTAAAATCGACAATTGTCAATACTAGCAAGGGTGTGATAAATTTGATATTTCACAGAGCTAGAAAGGATGAAAACTGGTATATCCTGGAAAGCAGACTGTGAAAGACATGTCCAAAAAGAATCAAAAACTCATAGACTCAAGCAATTCCATGCCTGAGAAACTACCGAAAAAATAACGCGAGCAGTATCGGGTCTCAGCATCGCATCAGCTGGCGCGGACTACGTCACGCTGCCACGAACAACCTCCACGTCACAGTGGCATTAAACAGCAGAGGTTTACTCCTGCTCACGCTACAAGTGTACCACAGGTCCCTTGGCGTTTTGCTCCCTATGTCCTCCCTCTGGGACCCAAGCTGATGAAGTCTCCACACCCGCCAAGTCACTGGTTACCAGGAAGGGAGAAAGGGAAGGCAGCACATCACAGAGCAGTTCTGAAAGGCTTTCCTCCACCCGGAAGTCACAAAGCCACTCCTACTCACGCTTTATTGGCCTGTGCAAGTCACACATAAGTAACTTCAAAAGGCAGAGTGCAAACCACATGCTCAGAAGATGAGCCAGGCATATTTGGTTGATGAACGCACGATACAGCCTACGAATGATGTGTTGTAGAATTGTGCACCTGAAACCTGTCTAATTTTGTTTACCAGTGTCACCCCAGTTTAAAAAAAAAAAATTGGTGAAGAGCACCATCTGGTATACAAAGATGTGCACAAAGATGTATATTGCAGCATTGTTTGTAATCCATCTAAAATAGTCCAGGAAATTATGGCAGGTACAGGTCTGAAATATTAGCCAGACATTAATAAAAGTCTTAAAAGGTTTGCCATAGCATAGGAAGTGCTTATATTCAAAGCAAGATGCAAGACCAGTGGATGGAACATGAGCTATACCACGTGAAAAATAAATGCTCAGAAATCAGAATATTAGTCAACCCCTGAAATTCCCAAGACAGAGATAGGGCCAGGACATTTCCCCATCTCCAGGTCAGACCGCTGCTGGAGCATGTAATTTCCCAGACGCACTGTTTACACTAGGGCGGAAGCAAGGGTTGGGAAGGGTATGATCAGCACTGAGATGTACTTGGCTGCGCGTATTCTCCAGCCCAGACATGGCCAATGCTGGCTGCAGCAAAGCAACAATATCCCTCATGTCATGCACGCCTCCGATTGCTTCCCAACAGTACAAACAGCCACAGTGAAATCCACAAATGTCCAGGTCACTGTGCTGAAGGGGTTGCCTTTGGGTTGTAAGAATATGAATGATTAATTTTATTTATATATTCATTGCTTTGTCATTTTCTATTATGAGCAGCTATTACATTGATGATAAGAAAAAAGTTTTATAAAAAAATGGATGTAGATACAATGAGGCAGTATGATGAAGCAGTTTAACATTTGGTCTCTGACTCCTCCACTTGTTAGCTCTGTAATAAGTATGGTTACGCAAGAGGTGACAGCCAAGGAATCATGTTTTTGTTTTTCTTTTTTAAATTTTTTTTTTTTTTTTTTTTAGACAGAGGGGCAGGGATGGAGAAAGAGAGGGAAGGAAACATCGATGTGTGGCTGCCTCAAGTGCCCCCTACTGGGGACTTGGCCCGCAACCCAGGCATGTGCCCCGACTGGGAATGGAACCCTCAACCCTTTGGTTCATAGGCTGGTGCTCAATCCACTGAGCCACACCAGCCAAGGCTCAGGTTTTGCAACCAGTATGGCAATGATGTCACTGTTTGGAATCCTCAAGGCAGGATGCATCAAACTGAATATGCAAAGGAAGCTATCAAACAAGGGTCAGCCACAGATGGTCTGAAATCAAAAACCCAGGCAGTGTTGGTTGCATTGAAGAGTGCACAGTCAGAGCCTGCAGCTCATCGGAAAAAGAAAATTCTCCATGTTAACAGCCATATCGGTATCTCAGTTGCAGGATTCACTGCCACTGCTAGACATGCCAGGAGTGTTTGCATGCCAGGAGTGTTTGGATTCCAGATTTGTATTTGGCAGACCTTTTCCTGTGTCTTGTCTTGTAGCTCTCATTGAAAGTAACACCCAGATACCAACGTAAAGATATGGACGAAGACTATATGGTGTTGGGCTCTTTATTGCGGGCTATGATGATATGGGTCCTCATACTCTCCAAACCTGTCCACTGACTGCAGAGCTACGTCCCTTGGAGCCCATTCTCAATCAGCTCGTACTTAATTGGAGAGACATGTGTCTGAGTTTACCGAGTGCAACTTGAATGAACTGGTTAAGCATGGTCTGCATGCTTTCAGAGAGACACTTCCTGCAGAAGAGGACCTGACTGCAAAGAATGTTTCCATTGCACTTGTTGGCAAAGTCTTGAAGAAAGGCCACAGAGAAAGGAAGGAGCTGATGAACCTGTAGAAAAGGCTGAGGAACCAATGGAGCACGAAGCAATAATCCCCCCATCTGTATGTGTGCTGTCCAGTGCGTAAGAATGCAGGGACATGTCCTCACGACAATAACCTGCACTGGGAACCAAAAGGTGCAGCGGTAGAGTGGTATGTGTTAAGAGTGAGCCCAGATATGAGTTTTTTCCAAGCAGCTTCACGGAAACCATATAATGGGAGGCACATTTCTTTGAGAGGGCCTAAATAATCATTTTCTAGAAAGTAGAGTGACCTGTGCTAACGTTTTTATATGAAAAACACAGTGTGGTGGTTTTAAAGAAAACTGTGAAATAAAATTTTTTCATCAAAGAAAAAGTGTGGTTACATTTCCGGGCCTCCCTGTGCCCTATTTTTCCTACCTGTAAAACAAGGGTAGTAAGATTCCCTACCTCATAGGACTGTGGTAAAGATCAAATCATTTTAAATACTAATACTAACACTCATTGAGTATGTCTCTACTATGACTCAGACCCTCTCCTCATCACTTTACTACCTCCCCTCATGTTTAGACTATCCAGCATGTTCTGAGGGCTCATAAGATGTGGGCACAATGATTGGGTTCCCACCAAAGAACTGGAGGAAGTATGAGGCAGTGGTTTGGAGTACACACTTTGAAGCGGGGCAGATCTGCCAGAGAGAGTGTATGGTTCAATAACATGTAATGCTGATATCCCCGCCCAGTCGCCATCATGATGGGCTTCCAGGTGACGACCATCCATAGCCTCCCCGTCCTCAGTGAGGGGCCCCGGCACCCCACTGCCAACTGCCTGGAACCTGCGCTCAAAGCAGAACCTACAGGGCGTGGTGCAAATGCAGGGCATGCACTGGAGCGGGCGGGAGAGCACCAAATATACAAAATGTGTTGTCCCGGAGCAGGCACTCTGCTGAGAGCTCCCAACTGCGGCCACAGTGGAGGCCGTGACCCAAGTCCCTCTCACTCTGATTGACAGTGAACCTGGTGGGGATGCAGAGCAGGACACGGGACCAAAAGAGAAGCAGAGAGCCTTGAAAGGGGGTCCACAGCAGCAGGCGGAAGGACCCTGCAGTCCATGGGCCGTCTAGTCACTATAGGGAACATTTAATAGCAGTCATTTCTTTGCTGAGACAAAGCTAAAGACTTAACCTTCTTTATTTCTAATATTTGTTTTAACCTGGTGACAGAAAATGTGAGCTGCACTCACTGACATTTAATAGCTACTGGTAACTGTCATCAATCCTAGTGACAACATTCTCTGAGGAACAGATTTACCTTAAGGGGACCATCTCTATGTCTCCAGCTTGTCCTCAGTCCCCTCTCATGTCCTCGCTCACTGACATCAGTCTCATAGACATATCTGACTCCCACACCTAGATCTCAGGTGCCTCGGGGTCTCCCAGAAAGCAGGGGCTACACCCTTTTATATAGCCATCAAAATGACATTGATTTGAAATACCAAAAACAAACATGACATGAGTAATAATGACTATTTAATATCCTCATCTATGAATGAATATCCTCACTCGAATATTTTCTCCGTGCCAGGTGCCACGTTAAGCTCCTTAGACCCCCACAAATTTATGGAGCAGAGAGAATAAATCAGAATGTTGCAAAGGTGCCTCGCTGGTGTGGCTCAGTGGATTGAGTGCCAGCCTGCAAACCAAAAGGTTGTGGGTTCAATTCCCAGTCAGGGCACATGCCTGGGTTGCAGGCCAGGTCCCCAGGTCTGCATGAGAGACAACCACGCATTGATGTTTCTCTCTCCTCTTTCTCACTCCCTTCCCTCTCTCTAAAAATAAATAAATAAAATCTTAAAAATATATATTAAAGAAAAAAGAGTATGGACCAACACTTAAAAAAAAAAAAAAGGGTGTTGCAAAGGTGAAAAGTGAGGCTCTGAGAAGTTAAGCAATGACCCAATGGCCAGCCTCTGAACCCCGCTGTGCCATGTTCACAGAACCCACCTGTGCTCAGCCACCCAGCCGTCCATCCCAGGATTACCTGCATGGAAGCCCTTTTCCAGAAAGAATCCACAGCATTGTTTTCACAATCTTCTGATGTAGGGCAGGATTGGTAATCGAGTCCTGGGGAAAACAGACGAACACATTTCACTTCAAAGATTATATCGGAAAGAATTCATTTAAAATATTTGCTGGCTCTACAAAATATATTTAGCCTGTGTTCTGCACAATGTGCTCAGGTTGAGTAGTCCCAGCTGTGCCTGCCCAATCCACAGGAGCCTAGTCAGTGACCACCCAACCCATGGGGTGGAGGCATTTGTCATCTTGCTCAGCACAAAGGTACAGAAAGCAGAAAACCAGGCAGTTAGCGAAGAGTGAGCCTGGCCAACTGCCAACATGTTAGCTGGGCTATTTCTCTCCTGAAATGCTGATAAAGGGATTTAAAAAACAAAAACACAAAAACTTTGCTTTACTGGAAAAAGTGCCTTCTCCAATTAACCCTGGTCTTGGAAGCATTTAAATATCAATATAAGAAAAATAGAAAATGATAGTCCTTTGTCAGAAAAGACATTTTATAACATTTAAAATATAAATGTTCAAGTGTATTAAATTTCATTAATTTTAAAGGCATAATTCAGCAGATATACATATATACATATATATATATATATAGTATTTGTTCACTATTTACTCAGTTAAAGAAAGGAAGATGCTAATTGACAAATTGTTCCAGGGAGAACCAAGCAGGGAAGATGTGCACCTGAAAACAAGCTATGTGTTCCAGGGCAGTGCAAATGTGGTTGCCTGTCATGTTTTTAAGGAGATGCAAGGCCCATTGCACAACTTAAGAAAGCATCATTACTTAATGCTACTTAATTACTTAATAAGAGTAATAACAGTCTAAAGTAATAATTGTCACTTGTCACGCTCGTTAGAATTTCAAATCAATGTCATTTTGATGGCCATATAAAATGGGGCAGTCCCTGCTTTCTGGGAGGCCCTGGGACACCTGAGATCAAGGTGTGGGAGTCAGAAATGTCTACAAGACTGATGCCGGTGGGAAAGGAGGTGAGACTGGTAATTGCTCCTTCAAATTATACACTCTAGACTTGAAAACAGGTCAGGTTATCGTCTCTGCAGGCCAATGTCTCGATTCCTCAGAGATCTACCTGTTTCAGAGGGGCCCCGGTCCAGGACGTGGCCCTGAGGGCCTGAGCCTCTCTCCCCAGCTTCCCACTGCCCCTCCCACCGTTCCGACAGCCACAGCTGCGGGTGGTATTTACCCCAAGAATAATTTCTGTACTTCCCTGTTTTATGCTTTATGCTCTTAGACTATCAACAACTGGAGAATATTATTAATGGTCATTTACTTAGTTGAAGAATTCTCTTTGTTAAAAATATTTTATTCTCACCAGTAATACATCTAAATTACAAAAATTAAAGCCATTGTAAATATGGATAAAAAGAAAAAAATGTATGACCTCAAACTCCCAGAAAGAACCGCAGTTCACACTCTGAGTTTGCTATCTTCTTGCCTTTTTTCATATTTTTGTAGATGTCTATGTGTATATTTTTTTTATTGGAATTAACTTGATTCTTCACTTAAAAATAGTGATAGGTCACAGACAATTTGAGAGATCAACAGATACAAAGTCTGGTCCTCGTGGTTTACGGTCCCGCAGGATCCATGATGTGAACATACCATCGTTTTGCTGATCCTAAACTCTGCACTTCACTTCCTTCTCAAACAAAAAAAGGTAGTGAGGTGCATCCTGATAGGATGGCATAGAATCAGAGAGGTGGGGAATGACCTTGTGGTTTTCTGGGACACTTTCTCTGAGCTGCTTTACTCACAGCACTTCCGACAACAATCAGTTCTCCAAACTCTCCAGACTGGGTGACCTGCAATTCAATTCTGACACTAACTATAGGTTAAGGGCTCCGTCCCCCAAAACTGCCCTCCCTTCAGACACCAGCTGCAAGTTGACACCGTCTAACCAGCTGGCTATCATCCAGAGGGTTCCCACAACGCCCTCCTCAGGTTCTGTAATTTGCTAGAATGGCTCACAGAATGAGGAGGGCACCTTATTTACAATTACTGGTTTATTATAGAGGATATAATAAACGGCCAAAAGGAAGAAACGCAGAGACGAGGCATGGAGGGTGGGTGCATGGAGCTTCTCTGGCCAGTCCGGGCGCATCACCATCCCAGCACCTCCACACGTTCGCCAACTCGGAATCTCTCCGAGCCGCTCATCTTGGGGTTTTCCTGGCGCTGCACTGCCGGGTGGGCGCGGCTGATGAAATCCCTGGCTGCTGTGACTGACGCAGCCTCCAGCCCCTCTGCCCTTCCCGGAGGGCAGAGGATGGAGCAGGCAGTTCCAACACCCTAATCATGCCTTGGTCTTTCTGGTGACCAGCTCCCCACCTGAAGCTACCGAGGGGCCCCCAACCACCGGTCATCTCATTGTCATACAAAAGATACTTCGATGACGTGTCAGATTCCAAGGGTTTTAGGGGCTGAGTGCCAGAAACTGGGGGACAAAGACCAACATGCTTTTGCATTGTACCCCACTCTCCCTTCCTCTGTATTCTTCCCGTCCCACGCCTCTGCCATTTCCTCCACCCTCTGCAGGATAATCGAACTGAGGCCCCCTGGTCACTCATCACTCCCTGGTCCATTGGAAGGACAGCCATGTCCATCTGACCGGGCCCCTGCAGTGCATCCCCTCTCACAGCAAAAGCCAGAGTCCTGGCAGTTTCCTGTGCCACCTGGGCCTCCTCTGGTCCTCTAACCTCACAGCCCACTCCTTTTCTCTCACTTACCGCTCTCCCTGCTGGTGCTTAAAGATGCGAGATGCACTCCCAGCTCAGGGCCTTTGCACCTGCCATTTCCTGTCGGGAAATGCTCTTCCTCATCTCCTTCAAGTCTTTGCTCAAAGGTCAGCTTCTCGGTGAGGCTCTCCCTGGGCCTCTGTGACATTGCAACACCGCCTCTCCCCCGCTCCCCAGCCCAGCACTTCCTATCCTTCTTCTTTGTGTTTCTCTGTAGCCCTTAGAAGTTTATGGAAGACCATACGGTGTACGTGCCTGTCTATTGTCTTATCTCCACCACCACAATGTAACGATGGGTATTATTTTCCTATTTTACTCTGTGCTATGAAGTGGGAAGTGGCTAGAGGAGGAGGGCCTGGCACATAGTAGGCATTCCATAAATTTTAGTTGGAGGGCTGAGTGAATGGAGGAAAATAAACAGAGCTGAGTTTAGGTGAACATTTAAAGTTGACTCTACTACACATAGAGGAAGAATTTCCAGCCTCTGAGAAGAGAATGCCTTCCCCCCACCTCCTTTCCCTGCTGGCCTCACTCCTACTCCTTCAAGACCCAACCAGAGCCAAGAGCCTTCTGGAATCTTCCCAGGTGCCCTCGTGCAGGCTGCTGTCTCTCTCTGCTCCTGTTTTAGCACCCAGTCCTTCCTGCAGCAGAGCACGCCACGATGCGGGAAGGTCCCTCGCAAGGCTACAAGCTCCCTGAGGGTGCGGACACTATATTGCCAGCTCCTAGTGTCAGAGCTGGATGAATGAGGAGAGTTGCCACTACGCCCATCAGGCCAGTCCTCGTGACTTTAACTTTCACTGCGATTTTAATCTCAAAATATCTGCTGGGGGCCTGAAGCGGCATTTGAGAGCCCAGGCTTCAGATCTGTCAGAAGAGGGCTGAATCTTGGCTTCTCCTTCTTCGAGTGATTTAACCTTCCTGTGCCTCAGTTTCCCCCTCTGGAAAATGAGGATAGTGAGGTCAAGTTGTGCAGGGTTGAGAGCAAGTGCTCTGGCTTCAGACTGTCCCGTTCTGCCGCTTACTCACTGGGCACCCCTGAGCAAGTGTCTTTGCTTTGCTGTGCCTCGGTTTTCCTATTTGTCAAAAAAGGAACTAGGATCAGACCTATCTCATGGGGCTGTCTCAGGGATTAAATCAGTTAATATACTTAAAGTGTTTCAAACAGACCTAACAAAGGATTAAGTACTATCTGTTATTGTTATTATTAATTGTTATTATCACCACCTACTTCAGAATGTCGGTGGAGGGGGCGATTGAATGAGGTAAATGCATATGGACACATTTGGCACAAACAGCAAATGTGGAGCGAACAGGAACCCTTATTTTTCTCGTGAGCCGTGCAGGAGTCTTACCTGAGGAGTGTTCCTGCCGACACCAGCTGAGGAGATCCCCCACCCTGCCGTACAGAACGTAGCTCAGAGGCATAAAGCGGCGGGTGTTCTCCGCAAAGCTGGCAACAAGGAACTGGTTATTTTCCCAGAACAGGGACTAAGGAAAAACAAACACAACATGAAAATATAAAATAAAATCAAAGCGAATTTTTTTTCAGACACAATAGTGTAACGGGGCACATCCAGGGCCCCCCCCAAAGAGTATTTATAACAGGGTCCAGAATTTGGGGTATCCAAGAAAAATATATTCTCCGCACCCCAGGCGGGCTGCCACGGGGGATGGGAGAGCCAGGGCAGGACCCCTGAGAGTCATTTTGCATGTCAATAACAGGAGAGCCTCATTCCTCTTTTGCAAGAGGGTTATTTTGCATGTCACCAAGGCTAATCAGGAAGGTTTGTAAGACTTAAGGCAGAATGTAGCTGGGAGAGGAAGGAGGCAGGCAGGGGCCTGAGGGAGAGACAAAGGGACACAGACTCTGGGGAACAGTGTGAAGACCCTGCGGGAAGAAAGAGGGGAGAAAGGACTCTTGCTCGTGGGCCTTGAGAAGGTGCCACATGGTTTTGGATGAAGAGCTGGAGGTCACGGCGACGCAGCAGATGGCGCTGAGACCCGCGAGAGGCCTGCCTAGTCCAGCCCCGGACTTCGGTTCTTTTTCTTCTGAAGGACGGTACCCCTGACCGGCCTGACTGGCCTGACTGGCCTGACTAGGCAAAAGGGGGTAGGCAGGACTGTGTGTTGGTGGGTGTTTTAAAGGGATTTTGAGATTTAAGAGCGACATTTAGCCATTAATCAAACCTATATAACTTTTGAATAAATAGTTCCTTTCTTTTTCACCAAACTCTGCCATTCAGAGCCATAAGTCCAAGGGCGGCGGGCAAAGGACCTACAACAGAGGGACGCTAGGGAAGCGGGGGGTCGTTTTAGTAATAGCATCTGGGCAACCCTCCCACCATGGGTCCATTTGTTCGGTAACAATATCATCAAGCTAAGTGAGGCAACCCATTTCTCGTTCAACTCTGACTTGCCTCACTACCAATGCACTTTCCTGCCGCGGGGGGCGGCACGTTGCGGGGAGCGCCGCGGTGGAACCTGGGGCTCCTGGATCTGAGGGTTACTGTCTGGAGCCAGCTGAGGAGGGAGAGGGGCTCTGAGTCCCGCAGAGCCAATCCCGGGGTTGTCATGGATGGGGGGAATAAACACAAGTCGTCACAAACACTTCTCTGTTTGCCAGGAGAGGGGGCATGGCTTTTCCCTCTAGAGCGGAGCAGGCCCCGAACCCCCGTGTCCAAAGGCTTTTACTGAGAACCATAGGCACAGGGGTATACAGCTAAGCTCATCAATCCATGTCAAAAGGCTATGTTTACAGAAAACAGACAGAGATCCTGGGTAACAATTGGAAGAACACAAGAGGTCTGCCTCAGATCAGGGTCTATGAATAAAGTAAATCTCCTTCCCAGGTTGAGCCAGTTACCATCGCTTTTGAGGGAAGAACAAAGCATGCTTCAAGGAACTTACTTCTAGGCCTGATTGTCCCCAGGAACTGCCCAATCCAGTTTAGGGCTGTACCTGCCTTTAGTATCGTTTCAATCCTGAGCCAGGTGGGCAGGGCAGAGCCACCAAGAAATAAGGAGACTTCTTTCAGATAGAATGAGGACTCCGGCCAAGTCCAAGCAGAGCCAAGGGTGCGGGCCTTGTTGCCCATTCTCCGTGTCCCCCAAGTCCTGTCCTGTTGCCCATACTGGCCAATGTCTGGCTAAGGTTGTCCCTCTTCTTGAGAGAACTTACCCGTCATCAACAACCGACCATCACAGGGCCAAGCAGGGTGACGTGAGGGAGGCAGGGGCTGCGTTCCCGCCAGGGGCACAGGTTTTGTCTCCTCGGTGGCCTGTTTTTACCAAGGCCTCCTTGACTAGCTCCAGCCTTGGGGCCCTCTCGCCTGTGGGTGAGGCTACAGTCCCTGACACCTGGCCATGCATTTCCCAACACTTTCCTTCCTCTGTCTTAATTCACCAGTTCAGAGAGCGCCACGACCTCTTTTCCCTTTAGTCCAAGGGTATTGTGCAAATGTTAATGAAATATTTTCCCCGTAGTACAATGGAGTGTGTGTGTCTGTATGTGCGGATGAAGATCCCTGGATTTAAAAGATCAAGGGACCAGAATTTGTGATACACTAGATATGTGATCTTGACCAAAACAGGTAACCACCTTGCGCTTCAGTTTCCACATCTGGAAAACGGGGAGCATGAGCCCTTCCTCTTTCTTCTACTGCTGTGTTTAGGATGATATACAATCGCAAAAAGCACTTCCTAATGTGTAAGGTGCCTCACAAATCTATTACTTTTACTTTATAGTACCCTGTAGCCAAGCCCCTTGAAATTTTAATGCCCCTGGTATTTTTGGCAGCTAGAATTAATTGGCTAGGCCTTTGTTCACATGTCCATGGCTCTTCTGTTCTCAAATGTAGTTGAGCTGTTGAGGTGCTGTCTCTTTACCAAGCAGGAGTGGATAACTTCAGGAAGGCGAGGGGAATTTATGAGTGTGTCTCGCAGAAAGTAAGAGTGTCTCCAAAGTCGCTGTGACCAGTTGCTGCCACCCAGAAGTCTGACTGCACAAAATGTTATTTGTGGCTAAAGAAACAAACTCCTCTCTCAGTTCCCCTAGAACTACCCCTCCCCGACTCCCTAGCTGCATAATAACTCCATACTGTGCTTTGGGGGTCGGATGGATTTGAGAGATCTTGCTCTCTTCCAAGCGCTCTGACAAATTGAATGAGCCTTTCTCTGTCTCCAAGTGCCAGTATTTTAATGTGTGGGCTGCTAGCCCAGCAGGTACGTAACCTGAATTTTTGAAGGTGGTTTGACAATACGCCCTCTTTAAAGTTAAAATATTTTTACCCAGCAATTCCACTTCGGGATATATATCCATAGAAACCCAAAACACTAATTCAAAAAGATATATACATCCCTATGTTTATTGCACTGTTATTTACAACAGCCAAGATTTGGAAGCAACCCAAGAGCTCATCAACAGATGAATGGATAAAGAAGTGATACATAACAATGGAATACTACTCAGCCATTAAAAAAATGAAATCCTACCATTTGCTACAACATAGGTAGACCTAGAGGGTGTTATGATAGGGGAAATAAGTCAGACAGAGAAAGATAAATACCATATGATTTTACTAATATGTGGAATCTAAAGAACAAAATAAATGAACAAACAAAACAAACAGACTTATAGCTACAGAGAACAAACCGATGGTTGCCAACGGGGAAGGTGGTTGGGGAACTGGGGGAAAAGGTGAAGGGATTAAGAAGTATAAATTGGTAGTTACAAAATAGTCACAGGGATGTAAAGTCCAGCACAGGGAATATAGTCAATAATATTATAATAATTATGTGTGGTGCCAGGTAGATATTTGAAATATTGAGGGATCACTTTGTAAAGTGCAGTAACTATTTACTGAGTTCATTTACTAGAACCAAAATCCATATGAAAGGAGAACAAAACTTATGGCTCCCTTTTACTGTCAGGAAAGCAGTGAGCTCAAAATATCCTTAAAAATCATATTTTCAGTCTATTATATCTCTGAACCTCCTGGTTCCATTTATCTGCTTTTACAGAGGGGGAAAAAAATCAGTTAAGATTTTTTCATTTGTAAACATGAATGTTATCTGATTTTACAATTTAAAATCAAGTTAAGAATTATTATATCAAAGAAATAAAAATGACCTTTAATGTTCTTTAAACTCAAGGTACTATTTTAAGAAAGCATTATATACAGTCTTTCCCATTTATTTCCATTACACTAGAACTTAGAGTGCAGACAGGGCACAGAAATGTGGCTTTCTTAAATGGGAGCTGAACAGACAAAACCTGAAGGCCTGTTAAAAGGAGGAATTGGTTTTCTTGGCTACTTGATAATGAGCTCTTTCCAAATTAGTCAAGGTTCAGGCCTGCAGGGTCATTTGGGACAGGGGTTGTTTATAACTGGCCCGGGGCGGAGGCCCACTGGGAAAGTACCACGATACCCTAATGTCCTTGTAACTTGTGCTGACTTGTTGACTTAGAAAATGTCCTTCTGTCGAGGCAGGCAGGAGATGCAGGGTCACTGGTGAAGATAAAGCCACTTTCCCACCCCCGAGCTCCACAGGTGCAAATGATTTGGGAGTTCGTGGCCTAATGTTTCAGTGGCCCTGGAGGGTTTCTGGAGACCACTAACCTCACACCTCTTTGCAGACAGAGAGCCATGTTCGATGGGGCCTTACCTTGTCTGTGGGAATGGAGTGCCTAGAGAGGTTTATAAAGAGGTCGTAGTCAGAGGGAAACACGGAACAGGGGTCCTTCTCCAGCACCGCGCGAAAGGCTTCCCAGATGGCTGTGCAGTTCTTGTCCCTGTGCCAGAGCACAAGTGTGTGAAAGAAAAATACCAAATCACAATGCACCGCACTTCCCATCCTCTCAATATACACCGAGAGCTGTGCAAGTCCTTTTGTCATACATCACCTCTGCCCAACTGAGCATACAAAAAAGATAGGAAATTGTCATGGCTCATGCCTTAAACCCAACTCAGAAGAAAATAGATAGTGTAGGAGATGGATTGAGAAATCTGACAATGCAAGTATCTATTGGGAGGTACCACACACATTTTTCAGAGCTAAGGAATACAGCCTCGCCCCAGGTTCACAGAAAAGGCACTGAGCTAGAGACTGGCAATTCCAAGAGGCCAAACAGGTTGCCAGCTTCTTCATTTAGACAATGAGGCCCATTGTGTGGTCAGGGCCAGGTGAGGTCAGGCCAAAGTGCCGGACCTCGTAAAGTCAGGCGTGAGCGCCAGCTACTGAGGAAGTCTGTGGCACCTCCTAGTCCATCCCAGCTTTCCAAAAACATCTCCCAATGCATTTGGAACTTGATCTCTCCTGTTGGGTGTTGAGCAACATAGGTGTTCCTTATAGTATTTTCTGACTTTTTTTTTTTGTCTGAAATGTGTCACTTTAAGAACAACTAGCACAAGAAAGGGATTTTATGAAAACAGGAGGGAAAAAAAAAGGTCCAAAGAAGGAACAAAAATAAGTAAGAAGCACAGTGCTGGCAAAAGAGACTCCAACTTTCAAAAGTCCTTGGATTAGGTTTGAAGTTTGAATCCCTAAAGCACCTGGACTCAGGGACTTCCTGGGCCTGCTGGTTCTGGCTGGGTCTGTCCTCCAAACCCAACTCTCCCTAATCCTCGCCTCTACACTGACCACCCCCACCCCGCCCCCGAGCCCCACCACACACACCCTGCTTCGTCTATATAAACACACACACACACACACACACACACACACACACACACACACACACACAGACACCCCCCCCTTCAGACTGTACACACTGACCCCATCACCTCCAGACTCCTGGGTTTGGCTCCCCCGACCTCAGAACTCTCCTCCTCCCCCACGGAGCACTCCTTTTTGACAGAACCCCTGACTTCCCCCACGCCCCCTGACAATTTCCCATTGCTACCTCCCCACAACCTTCTCGCCTCTGAGCCCGCTTTCCCCTCTCCTTTGGCCCCCCACTCATTTCCCCTCCCCGACCCCAGTCCTCTCCACTCGGGCGCCCCCCACGCCTGCCTGCAGAGCTCACCGCAGCTGGGGATTCAGCAGCGCGAGATACTCGGAGCAGCGGCCCAGGAAGATGCTTTGCAGGTGCTGGGTGGTACCCGCCCCGCTCCACGGGGAGCGAGCAGCGCCCGCAGCGCCCGCCGCGCTCGCCAGCAGCAGCGGCTGTAGCAGCAGCAGCAGCAGCGGCGGCGGCAGCATCGCGGGAGCCGCAGGAGGACTGAGCGCGCCCCTGCGCTGCCAACGCGGGCGCTGTGAAGAGCCTCTCGGACTCGCTCCCTTTTCTGCGCGAAGACGCCCCACGGGAACCACCGCCCGCGCTGACCCGGGCGCCCGAGAAGCAACTGGTTTTTCTGAGTTGCTGCCTAGTCATTTTCCCGTTTGCACGTACTATTCCCACCAAGAAATGAGATTTGAGACTTTTGAGTTGATGAGACACATTCTGAGATTGTGGACTTGAGTTAATGCTATAACGAGCTGAGACTTTGGGGACCTTGGGACAGGTGAACGAATGTGCATCTCATGCGGGGTATGTCTTTGCCAACGAGGGGATATAATACAATAAATAGGCCGAAGGTCCCGTCCCCTACCCCCAGTATGCAGCCTTGCACAGTAAAGGGGGTTTCGCATAAGTAGCATATACTGACAGACCAAGGCTGCTAGGTCAGAAAGACGATTTATTACTAATAGCCAAAAAAAAACAAACAAACAAAATAAAAACGAGCCAGATCAGCACTGTCTATCAATCGGTTCCCCATGCCCCAGCATCTCACAGTCCGGACCAGGTGTTACCTCTGCATGCAGTACGAACCCATAGCAGGGGTGCCCAACCCACGGCCTGCAGGCCACGGGAGGCCCAGGAAAGCTATGGATGCAGCCCGACACAAAATCATAATTTTACTTAAAACAGCATGAGTTTTGTGATTACATGTCACCACATATTTAATGTGTGGCCCAAAACAACTCTTCTTCCAGTGTGGGCCAGAGATGCCAAAAGGCTGGGCACCCCTGCCTAGGGCTTTACGGGGTTGCTGGTACATCTTCTCATCCTCCCCTACAGAGAAATTACTCAGTACTCCTGCAGTGCATGCAGGTGTCTCCGGAGGAGGAGGAGAGGGCTTTATCTTTACTTCCCGGGGATGTCTCTAAGGAAAGAAGCGTCTCTAGTTTTACTATCCTGGAATGTCTCTGTATACAAATATTCTTCACTTAGATGCAAATACTTCCCGAGAATCCAGACCGCAGAAATGTGAGCTACTGGTGGAGAATTGCCTTCCTACATCTATTCCAAGCATCAAAAAGCAGGAGAAAATCTATTATCTTTAACAGAATAGAAATCTGCAACAAGCAAAAAGAATAGAAAGTCTGAAAAATCAAACATTGTAGTAATGCTAGACTGCTGGAAAGGAACTGCTAACCTATATGACTCTAGAAAAAGACCACGCCCAAAGACACATCACCCAATGGAGCCAGGGAACACCTAAAGAAAGGTAGACAGAAGGTGAAACTAGTTTGAGGACGCCATTATGCAATACATGTTGCTTTTTAGCAATAATATGAGAAAGCAACATCAATCGATGTAATTTATGAATGCTTGTAGAGATAATCTGACAGAAGGAGATTTTAAAATGTAAAAAAGGCAAAGAAATGGGTCACATTTAATACTTCTTTCTGGGAATATGACCTTGTTACAGATGTTAGATGTTCATTCACGTGTTCTTCATCAAATGTACACTGAGCATCACCATGCATCAGACAAGGACAAGATCTTTGCCCCCAAGGAGCATTCATTGCAGGGCGGCAGACTGACGGGACTAGTAATCCAATGTGTAAAAATATTACAAATTACATATCACAAAGGAAGCAAAGAGATAAAGGGAAGGACAATGAACGATGCACCCATACCCAAACCAAGGTGGTCAGCAAAGCCCTCCATAGGGAAGTAACATTTAATTCAATCTGTTCTCAAAACAGCAGAGCGAGTCTTCTAAAACCTTCTGCAGATCATGTGCCTCCGCTAGGTAATCCTTCTGCTGTTTCGCTGACGGAAACCCACGGGCCTTCCAAGGGCCGACTGAGCCTCTGATGTGGTCCCCAAATAGCTTCCTGGCCTCCTTTTTATAATACTCTTCCAACAGCACTTACTATCTTCTAAATATTATAAAGCCTATTTATTATATTTATTGTCTCTCTCCTTGCCAGAACTTTAGCTCCACTAGAGAATGATCCTTGCTTTCCTCATTTTGTATCTCCAGTGTCTCTAGAATAGTTACTCGCCTGTAATACAAGTTCCTTAAATTTTTGTTCAATGAATATAAAATTATATTGTGATTGTAATATTTAAGTGTTACAAAAATAAAAATGTAACAAAGTTATCACATGTAATGATATATTAACATGTAAATACAATGTAGAAAAATAGTACAAAATAAGACACATGACTACAAAGATCAGGCAAGATTTATTTAATGTGATGAGTGTGTTGCCTCTCAATAAGTTCATCCCAGTCTGGAACACAAGAGGATGATGCTACCCGCATATCTGCGGCACCGTCCAATCCACTTCTTTCCTACGTTTTTAACTGGGTTAAGACTGAAACCCCAGTTCACACTAACTAGTCGCTGTGAATGGCAGTTATAGTAGGATACTCTTTCTACTTAGCAAAGGAAAGTCTTCCTTTTTCTTAATCCAAAATGCTGATAAACAATGTTTCATAATCATTCTTCAGTGGATATGATGAACTGAGCTGCAGGAGTTCATTTTTTTCTTCAGGCATCAAGTTTAACTCAACTATTGATTCTTCATTTTGAAAAGCAAATGGATCTTTTACCCAGCAATTTTCTCCTAATGTTTCAAATTTCTCTCCTGGAAAGAAATGATAAAAGTTTGAAATACGGAGGTGATATGCAACAGTATCTCTAATTTTATTTCTTTCAAATTGATACCATTAATAATATTCTCTTCAATGTGTTGCAAAAATCTTGGAAACATGTAGTAGCCAGGTTGATTGCTTTTAAGCCTTGTTTGCCATGGCAACAATGTCTTTTGGAATCCTTGGGTATGTTCAGTGTGTTGGAATATGTTACTGTTTTTCCCCTGTAGTTTTAAACTTAGCTCATTAAGAATGCCAAAATTATCATTTAAATATGCCAATTTCATTACTCAAATGGCATCTTCAAAAATACTTGCCAAATGAGATTTCTTTTCAAGGAAAAAAATGTGAATATCCTTCCTGAGTTCATTAACCCTGCTTAGTACTTTCCCTTGAGACAACAACGAACTTTGGTAAGATTCTGCAAGCGGGTGCAATTACTTCTGACCTCTGAACAAAATGTTTCAGGAAGTCGGCTATTTAGTGAGCTCCCTTCAATAAAATTAACAACTTTCACTACATATTTCAATACTTCCATGAGATTCTGTGCCATTTCTCTGGATACTAAAGCTTCACGATATATAAAACAATGACTCTACACAGCACCATTATAAATAACTTCTCGCAACTTTTTCACTATTCTGCTATGTTGTCAAGTTATGTCTACTGTTCTTTCACCTCTGTAGTTTTTTCAGTTTAACTTACATTGACCTACAATGCACTTTTCTAATTCTGTAAAAATGTCTAATCCATTTAGGTGTGAGGTTAAATTTAAACAACACAAAAAATCCTCCAAAATGCATGAAATCACCTTGCCACGCATTTCTGACATAAACACTAAAAGTGTTTATGCAGCTTCCAACATCAGTGCCTTCATCAAGCTCAGCTGCAAAATCTGTACTAGGCTATAACCAAGACATAAGCATTGTTTCTATATGCTCCACAACAGTACACATTGGAAGAGATAGTGTGTTATCACTGGGTATGGTTTTTAATTTATCAGCTGATTTATTATCAAAAATTGTATACACCATATCCAAACATGCTAGAAGAATAATTTTTTCAGCAGCTGTGTGAGCCATTTTCTCTTTTGCCCTATGGTATGCAACGAAATAGGATGATAACAAGGCTTTCTCACTGCCAGTAGTAGAACAACTAAGAAATTGTGTGGGTAACTTTTTATATTTTTTCTTTCTTTGAAAATATTCAAGAGGTTTATCAGTAAGTTCAGCATGCTGAGTTTCTAAGTGCCTTTTTAATTCTGAAGGTTTTAAGCTTTCATTTGCAAGAATATTATTACAGATAACACAGTGAGGTCTGTCACTTTCAAAGGGTTTTTCACATTTGAAAAAACCATATTTTAATTAGTCTTCATTATATCGTCTTGCACTTACTGTTTTCCTTTTTTGAAATGTGGCTCAAATGAAGTTGAAGTTTGCAGATTAGACTCAATATTTTTCTCAGTATTGTCACTATTCACACTTCCAGATCCTATGGTTGAACTTGAACATGCTTTTGCATACTTCACTTCATTATTCCCCTTTCTTTTAAAAAAGAAATGATCCATTTTAAAAGCCATTTGGATTAAAATGTTATAATTGTCACAAACTCAAATATATATATATATATATATCTCCTAGATAACACCTCTTCTCAAAGAATGCAGTGTGCAACTGAATCTCAGTTGAACCCCTCAGACTTCACATCTAGTTGCCAGTCACGGTAATATGAAACTAGAGTGCAGGTCAACCCTGTTATTATGAAAACCAAACAAGATACCAGTGGACAAATAACTGGAAAACCACTTCTCAGCTAATACACATTCTATTCATCATATCCCCTCCATCAAATATCTTTTCACATATTGAAACTGACCTTAATATTCCTTGTAATATGCACAGTTCTGGCAAGGGATTTATGGAAAGAACTCTGATAGTTTACATTTTATTTTGTCTTAAAAAATGGTCATGATTCACAGAATTGATTTCATTACCTATTAATAGACCACACACATAATATGCAAAACACTGAACATAGAGACATCTTTCATTGCTGTGTTGGTAGCTTGAGTATATCTGCTTGATGGCCGAAGAAACTAGCTGATCTGTTAGACTGCTGGCTGGTACAGAACTTCATTGAAGTGGTAGATATATATCTTAGATTATCATTCCTGATACTTTTTGATAGGAGAGTTTTTAAAAATGCCCGTTACGGTCTGATTCAGTAAGGCTCCAATGAGGTTTTCCATGGCTAGGCCAATGATCAGGTTGGAGCTGGTGATATATTTTTACTGCTTTCTTGGATTGCATCCTTGATCTGGGAAAAAGAA